AGAAAGCAGACTACCGTCGGTCGACCGATACGGTCGACCGAAATCTGATATGGGTAAATTGACAGGTTTTGGGTCAGTTTTGAAAATTCGTCAAAAATATCAATTCATATCCAAAAATAGTGAAACTTTGGGGAAAGTTTATAAATGATGAAATGAACATGTTTGAAAAGGAATTTTTGGAAAAACAAATTTCGTTTGTGAAAACTACTTGTTTTTGAAAAATGCTTAGAAAACCTGTATTTTTATGAAAGTAAAAGTTGATATAGGACTTGTAAATATTCATATATATATTGTGCATATATTATATGTATATAATCAGGTATGAGAGAGCTGTAAATAAGAGATAAAGATATTTTAACAACGTTTAATGAAAAATTATTTATATGATAGGAAACGGCAAAAATCGTGATGAGTGTATATATATTGAGCTTAGATATAATCATACTATATATGTAAGTAAACTAAACATATACCTAGGTAGATCCACGCAAATGAACTTGAATCTTTAACGCTTGATTTACGTGTGTTGAAATACCTTAAAAGAGAACATAAACACAAAACACTGGAAAGCTTATTAGTAATAAATTGTTTGTCAAATCATCATCAAAACTATAGGGTCAACAGCATTCTCTCTACCATAGAAATGGCATTTGCTAAACATGAAGCCATCTCAAGGGTAACATTGAATCTGGCTCGAATTGCCCACAATCTAATAATATCGCACTGCTCCATGCTACCTTCATTGCTTCTTTCATCCATAACATTAAAAAAAATCTAATGTTTTTGTGCCTTGCATCAATTTTTCACCTTTGCAATATATAATTATCAGGAATAGCTGTCAACTAAAGAAGCCATGTGATATGCAATATATGCCTACAAGGGATCCCATCGGTTTCAAAAAGTGCACAAGAACATTTGACCGTAAGCTCTCTAGATTTGTCATATGTAACTTCTTCCCATTTCTCTCTTTCTTCAGAAAAATCACCAACTAGATAAATTGTTTTTGGCTCTTCCTTTAGCATTTCTTCATGAAAAAGTGATAACCCACTAGTATGCTCGTCTTGGAATATTTTGAAGATCCCCCTAGTATATAACTTGCTAACTTGCACTTCAATTGGATGTCGAAGGCACATTTCAGGCACGGTATTCAATGTCATAAAGTCTTCTTGAGATTCAGATGCACGACGATTTGCTAAGGCTTTGTCATATTGGCATACAAAGTCCACAAACCTAGTCTTTGTATTTACATAACCATCAAAAAATACATTGATACTTTCACTCCTCTAACTAGTTGTCATTCCTGCCCAAAATATGTCTTTCAAATATGCATCTAACTAGTGTGCACGCAATCTATACATCCTCGTCAGCCAACTATCTACATTCTTATCTATATTAAATTTCTCCTTCAAAATCTTCCAACGTTCCTCACAATTGTGAATAGTGCTATCTTAGTACCACTTATCAATATATGTAGAAATCTCATCTTTATATTGTGCTCTCAATGGAAGTTGTTGCTTGACAATATATCTGCCAATATGCTAAGAACAAAAATTGTCACGCCCCGCTTCTCAAAATACCCGGGGAATCGGAACGTGAACAAGCCCGCGACGTATTAAATTGAGAAGAAATATTCACTATCATTTTTTCTTCTCAATCCAATATGCTAAGCGTCAAATATATAAATCTCAATCATAGGTCCCCGACCATAAAAGTAAGAATATAAAGACAACCCAGAATAAGAAATAAACATATCATCAACAGATCATCCCAGACATAAAATATGAGTCCAACATACCCTTACTACAACAATAGTTCAACTAGGAAATAAGAAATACATAGTCCATAATAAACGGAAATGATAATAAAATAACTAAATCTATCATTAACTAAAGAACAATACTATAAAAGAGTTTTAGTGTTCATCAGCTACTACAGAAAGAAAAACACATCTAGGCTTCAATTTGTTCTTCCACTCCATCAGAAGGACACTCCGGTTGAGCATACACCGACTCTGTTGTATCCTCGAACTGGACCTGTTCATCCCCTAAGTCTGATGCACACCAGAGAAAACAGGTGTACGTCAACGTGCATGGCACACGGTAATATCTCACATGGAAAATGAAACAGTCGTATGACCCATGCTATGATAGTAATAATACCAATGGAAAGACAATGACACATGCAACTGGAAATCTAAATAAAACAAGATGGAATCCTATACTAAACATGATAATATACAGCCATTTATATACAATAACCGAGTCGAATAATAACCATCCTAAATCTCAATGGTCCACATCTCACACAGAGTCATCGCTCATATCATCAGATAACTGACTGTTCACAAATCCCCTACGTGCATCCAAACCCGCGAAACGGTTCGGTGAGAGGACTACACGCAATCCGATTTTGTCCTAGTTTGAACTCAAGCAAAACTCGGGTGATGAAACGATTTCACTAACCAAGTGCGAAACGGTTCACTTGGCCCAACAAACTAACCCCAGTGCGAAACGGTTCACTGGTGCAAGTCTAGAAGATACATCAACAGCCTTATCCGATCACATGAACCATGTCTTCCCCATCCCAACTCTTTTGGTTTTTCTAAGTCAACTATAAACCTCCTTGGAACTCGGGTTCACCACCTAAACTCAATCAACACACTCACACATGTCACTAAGCCTGTTCATGACGCACGAGGCCACTAAGTCATGAACTACTAAGGTTCTCAATCACAACAAGGAAATAGTAATAACCCCAATTCTATACAATAATAATATGGCATGTCGAACATGATTAAACAAGTTGTAAAGCATGAATAATCACTACATCAAAACATGGAATGCATGAACAGCCTACCACAGTATGAATACACACATAAATGGACTTCATTAATATCTTACTACTGGGGTGTCCAAACTTCTCATGTAAGCTATCCATAATTAAGCATCCTCTAATATAATAATGTGGTAAAAAGAAAACTAAAAACTGATGTCGTTTTGCACATGAAATATCGCGCTCTACGACTGTTAGTTATACTATCATAAGTAATAAATATTCTTTTTTTCAAAATTATTCTTTAAAACTATTTCTCATTATAACTAATTTAAAATAAAAATATTTATATGATAAAAATATATTAATTCCTTTCTGCATGAAAAGTAATATTTTTCTATTTTATAAATTTCCCTTAATTAATTTTTTTGATAAAATTTTGTAAATTCTAATTTTAACACATAACTTGCCATTTCATGCCCGCAATTAACAACATTATTAATCTAATTTTCACCATACGATCGCAATCATCATTCCATGCAGATATTCACAAATGCATATTAACCACAATAATAATTTAACTACATATAATAATCATACTAACAACAATATTAACCATAAAATAATTTATCTACATCCAATCATCATAATAACACGATATTAACCATTAATTTAGAAACAAAGGTAAACTCGAGATCTTGCCTCGGTGTATTCATTGACTGCAGCGGGGGTCGTTGGTGTGGTTGCACGGCGTTACGATGGGTTTCGTGGAATCAACGGCTAAAATTACAACTTAGAATGTTATTGCGACATGTGATATTCAAATGAATATAACGAGGTGTAGATAAGGAGCCTAAGTGAAAGGAATATACCGTGTGATAGATAACACGAAGGGCTACGCACCGGCGAAAGAGTCGACGGAAATGGAGGTCGGAGATGGCCGAAAAATGAGCATGAAGTCGGCTCCGTACTGTAGTTTTTGCAATGAACAGATCGCTGTTTGGCTCATTGTTCGGAGCTGTAGGAGAGAGAGAGAGGGTCGCCGGGATCTTCGGAGGTGAGCGGCGGCTGGTGGTGATGCTGGCTATGAACTCCGACGGAAGGGATACTGAGGTGAGCTCGTCGGGTGAGGCCTAGAGCTGAGGGATTTCGACTGAGGGATCGTGGCGGTGAATTAGTGCGGGTCGGTAGCAGAGCCAGACAGGGGTCTGCGGGGCGGTCGCAGTCGGTGCTGGAATGGGTTGGCTCGACCGAGGAGAGGTCAGGTCGGGGTCAGGTCTCAAGTGGCGACTCGGGTGTAATCAGCGCTTGGAGTGAGGGTTGGCGGGTTGCGGTGGTACAGGGGGACTGGGTGGCGGTCGTGGTCGGAGCTCAGGGCGGAAGCGAGCCTGAGAGCTGTCGGTTGTCGGCGCAAGGGAAGCGGAGGTCACGGAGTTGCGGAGCTTGGACTCGAGCACAGGAGGGCTCGGTGGATGGACTTCGAGCTCAAGGGACGAAGTGGCTCGCGGTGGGCGAGGAGACGCAGGAGGGAAGAGTTTGGGGCGACCAGGGGGTAGAGGGCAGCGACGTACGGGCGGGGAGGTTTCTAAAGTGAAGAGAGAGAGAAGATAGGGGGCTGGCATTTCTTTTGAGGAGAGGAAAACAAAGATGGGAAAGTTGAGAGATAATAATAGAGGAGAGAGACAGAAAGGATGATAAGTTGGGGAGTGAGGGAAACATGGGGATTTTTTAGGAGGAGTTGGGGAGTGAGGGGAACGTGGGTTGTGGGGGGGAAACGTGGGGGTATTCTTTCGGAGGAGTGTGGAGAGAGAGGGGTAAATATAATATTTAATTATTATTATTATTATTTAAAACAAAAATGAAAACAAAAATAATTAATATGTTATAAAAATCAATTAAAATAATTTAATTTATGATTTAGCCAAATAAATATAAAGCCTGATTTTTGAATCATTAATAATTCTAGAAAATCAGTTAAAATATAAATATTCTCTTTAATAATAAATTTTAATATTTAAATAACAAGAAAATTATTTAAATCAGTATCGAAAAATTGTGGTCATTACATTCTATCCCCCTTAAAACAAATTCCGTCCTTGGAATTAAAATAAAAGGACAAAATATAAAAATGGATTCACTTCAACTCATATAAAGTTCAAAATATTTTGCATATCCATAAATAAGAAAAGTCATACAAAGTGATTCAAATAAGATACATGACAGGACAGCTAAGATTCAGGAAATAGATGAGGGTATCGCTGTCGCATCTCAGACTCAGTTTCCCAAGTTGACTCTCCAGGAGAATCAGGGTGCCACATCACATGAACAAGCGAGACGGTTTTGTTCCGGAGGGTCTTCTCCCTTCGGTCTAAATTCGCCACAAGCTGCTGCTCGTACGTCAAATCGGATAGCATCTTAATCTCCGAGAAATCTACAACATGACTCGGATCTCCAACGTATTTTCGTAACTGAGAAATGTGGAATACGTTATGCACTCTAGCCAGGGCGGGTGGTAATACAAGTCGGTACGCCACTTCTCCCACTCTCTCTAATACGTCGAAAGGTCCCACATATCACGGACTCAACTTCCCACGCCTTCCAAAGTGAATGGTGCCTCGGTTGGGGGAAATCTTCAGGAACACATGATCTCCTGGCTGTCCCACGCCTTCCAAAGTGAATGGTGCCTCGGTTGGGGGAAATCTTCAGGAACACATGATCTCCTGGCTGAAACTCCAAGTGCCAACGCTTCGCATCTGCCCAATGCTTGAATCTGTCCTGCGCTATGCGAAGTCGCTCCCGAATGATCCTGACTGCATTAACTGATTTGTCAATCAACTCTGGCCCGAAAATCTCTCGCTCACCAACATCGTCCTAACTCAACGGAGAGTGGCACTTCCTCTCATACAATGCCGCAAAAGGGGCCATCCTAATGCTAGCCTGGAAGCTATTGTTGCATGCAAACTCCACCAAATGCAAGTGATCTTCCCATGACCCATGAAAGTCAAGCATACAAGCTCTAAGCATATCCTCCAAATTTTGAATGGTCCTCTTTGACTGCCCATCGGTCTGAGGATGATAAGCTATGCTGAAACTGATACTGGTCCCTAGACTCGCCTGCAAACTCTTCTAGAACTCTGAAGTAAATTGAGTATCGCGATCCGAGACGATGCACACTGGAACTCCGTGCAATCGCACGTTCTCCTGTAATACGAGAGATTTACTAACACTCTTGGGAAAGGAACTCATTGAAATATATAGAGATAAATATTTTACCTCCATGTATCTCTGAGCAAGATGCTCCGTCGACTGTCCCACTCGGAAGGGAATGAAATGAGCCATCTCTGAGCAAGATGCTCCGTCGACTGTCCCACTCGGAAGGGAATGAAATGAGCCGATTTGGTTAATCAATCTACGATCACCCAAACAGCGTCATTTTGTCTAGTGCTCCGAGGTAAGCCAGTAATGAAGTCCATGGTGACATGTTGTCACTTTCATTCCGGAATAGGCAATGGCTGTAAAAGACCTGTGATGCGCTGATGCTCTGCCTTCACCTGCTGACATACAAGGCACTTAGCCACACTACGAGCCACATCTCTCTTCATACCACGCCACCGATAATTCAGCTTCAGATCCTTGTACATCTTCGTACCTCCAGGGTGAATAGAATACGGTGACCTATGAGCTTCCCGTAATATCTCCTCTCGAACATCTCCTCCTGGTACGTAGATACGACTCCTAAATTGTAAGGATCCGTCCTCATGAACAACAAATTCCGGTCAAATACCAGCCACTGCTAACTCCCTACACTTCTGAAGAAATTGGTCACTTGCTTGTGCAGGCTTGATTTGCTCAACCAGTGTCGTTTGAATCTGAAGATTCATCAAAGAAGTGGTGACTCCTGGAGGAAGAACTTTTATACTCATATCCCTCACTTCCTGCTAAAGTCTCCACTGAGCCGTGAGGGTCATGATCACCGGCAAACGGCTCAAAGCATCTGGTACTACATAGACCTTGCTAGGGTGGTACTGAAGGTCAATATCATAATCTGCTATCAGCTCCAACCATCGGCGCTGCCTTATGTTAAGTTCCTTCTGGGTAAATATGTACTTCAAGCTCTTGTGGTCGGTGAACACCTTCACTTGCTCTCCCAACAGATAATGCCTCCAAAGCTTAAGGGCAAAAATCACAGCTGCCAATAATGCCTCCAAAGCTTAAGGGCAAAAATCACAGCTGCCAACTCCAAGTCGTGGGTAGGATAATTCTGTTCATGCTTCTTCAACTGACGAGAAGCATTGCTGAAGAACGCATCCCAATCCTCTACCTGATGCATCACAAAACACCTCAAAGTTCCAACTCTTATCTGGTATGGTCAAGACTGGGGCTGAGATCAGTCGAGACTTTAACTCCTCGAACGCCTGCTCACAAGCGTCGAACCAGACAAACTTAATACCCTTCCTCGTAAGTCATGTTATCGGCTCCGTAATCTTCGAAAAATCCCTAATGAAGCGACGGTAGTAACTAGCTAATCCCAGGAAGCTCTTAATATCAGACACCGACTTAGGGGTAGGCCAATCCTTCACTAAAGATACCTTCTCCGGATCTACTGATATGCCATCTCCTGATACCACGTGTCCTAGAAATGCAATACGATCCATCCAGAACTGGCACTTACTATACTTGGCGAATAGCCGATGATCTCTCAAGGTCTTCAACACGTACCGCAAATGCTCTACATGCTATGCTTCACTCTTAGAGTACACCAAGATATCATCAATAAAGACCTCCATAAACTTGTCCAATACATCATAGAATACCAGATTCATCAGGTTCATGAATGTTGCCGACGCATTAGTCACACCAAACGGCATCACTAAGAATTCATAATGTCCATATCTTGTCCGGAACGCAGTCTTAGGAACATCAGAATTCTTAACCTTCACCTAATGATACCCGCTCCGCAAATCCAGCTTAGAAAATACTATTGATCCTCCCAATTGATCGAAAATATCATCGATGCGGGGAAGTGGATACTTATTCTTCACTGTCAACGCATTCAACTCCTGGTAGTCGATGCAAACCGCTTGGATCCATCCTTCTTTCCCACAAGCAACACAGGTGCTCCCCAGGCCAATACACTGGGTCGTATCAAGCCTCTCTGCAAAAGATCATCCAACTGAGTACGATGCTCGGCCAACTCAGCCGGGGGCATACGATAAGGAGTCTTGGAGATCGGAGCAACTCCAGGCTTCAAATCTATGGAAAACTCAATTGCCCGATTCGGTGGCAATCCGTAAATATCGTCGGGAAACACATCTTCAAATTCTCAAACTACAATTGGCTTCTCGGATTCCACTTGCATCGTAGCTAACGTCGCCTTCTTCGGTCTAGCTCTGTACTCTACAGGTCCGACCGATGTGCTGCCACTGGTGAACTCAAATCTCGGGTGATCTGGTATCTCAAATACTACACTCCGATGGCGACAATCAATGGTGGCAAAGAACAACCCCAACCAATCCATCCTAAATACTGCATCAAAGCTCGGCAAATCAATCACTAGAAAGTCTGCGAAGAGTTCCCTCCCACAGATGACTACAGGGCATGCTTCATAACCACTAGATGCTACTAAGACACCACTGCTCGTGTTGATATTCCAGCCCGTAGTCAGAGAAGCTATAGGAAGAGAGTGAGCACTCGCAAATCGATGAGACAAGAAACAATGGGAGGCTCCAGAAATACCCATGCAGGTCACTCATATTTGTTTGCTAGCTCCTCCTATTTGTGCATCTTGATCGGTGATAATTGCTTTTGGTGTAACCCCATGCATGCATTTTAGCCATTGGGTGAACAACCAAATAAAGGTATCCTCTTGCTCATCTACACGTAACGCACAACCAAAGAGAATGGACTGCCAATGATGATTTACACATGTGAATGGAGCAAACGGTAGGCTCAAATGATTGGTTTTATATGTAACGTCGAACACCACTACATCTGTAAAACTTAAGTAAGAAGATCTTGATCTCCCATCAGCCCAAAACATGCTCCTCATAGTCCCTAACTGATCCAGCTCTATGGAAAAGTAAAATTTTTGATCGATTTCCTTCTTATCTTGAAAATTCTTTATGATGGATATGCATTCATTGCTAATGTTGTTCTTCCTAATAGTTCTGATGTGATCAATATATTGTTGTGCAGTAATATATTCTTCATGAAGACTCTTGGACACAACATTATACACTCGAGCAATAGTAGAAGGAGCTATTCCTTCTTCACTCAAATTCTCAATAATTCTCTTGCAAGTTTACGAGTGATGCCTTTGTCTATGGGAATAATGATTAAACACTTTATCAGGGCTCGATAATAGATGGGTTGGGTGCTCTCCGTCAAACTTCATGACAATCTATGTCTTGGAGGAAGTCAACTTAATCTTCATTCTTATAGGATAATCCACTCTAGTATCTGGATGGCGATTGACAAGTTTCCCACACTCTCTCTTATCTGATAACCTTTTTCTCACTGCCTTGTTACAAACAAAAACTTGAGAAATAATTTCTCTTGACTTTCTTGACTTATTGGTTGTTTCCTTGCGGATTCTAAAATCCATTTCTTTGCATAAGAATTGTAATAGTCGTATGCCTCCTCCAATGTAGTAAATTCATTTCCCTCGTATGTCGCCTCGTAAGTCATCTCATTCGGGCCCACAAGAGCTGTATGCAATTCACCATGAACATCCATAAAATTTTGGGTATAATTTTTACTTAGTCCAATGGGTAGCACGTCATCTGTTTCAACATTCATTGTCCTCTCATAGCCCTGAAACATTCAAAAAAGTAGCAATTTACATGACAGAAATTAGAACTAATATGATGTAAATTAGAACTAACATGAAGGAAATTAGAACTAACATGGCATAAATTATAACTAACATGGTATAAACTAGAACTAACATGGCATAAACTAGAACTCACATGGTATAAACTAGAACTCAAATGGCATAAATTCACAGCACATGGTATAAACTAGAACTCAAATGGCATAAATTCACAGCTAATAATTATTTAATTAATTTGAATTGAATCTATGATAGATGCAGCAAGCAAATTCACAGCTAATAATTATTTAATTAATTTGAATTGAATCTATGATAGATGCAGCAAGCAACGAACAAAAATTTAAATAAACAAATAAAAAGCTCTAACATTAAAACGAATTGAGCAATAAGCTGATAACATATTATCTTGGGTGCTTTGAAAGAGAACTTCTATCCTAGAAGTAAGATCGGCCTAAATTTGAATTCCATCTATCCTAGATTTGATAAGATATTTTCACCCTAAATTTGACAATTATTCGCTTATAAAATTCTGGATTTTCTCACTCTAACAGTAGCTTTTTAAGGTATAAGTATCTTGGGTCTCTTACAAATGATATTACAGTCAACCTCATCTGCACATTCAACCAAACAATTATTAAATATAGGTGCCCTACAGGTAATAATTGTATATTGTAACAGGACCTATATGAATATAACATCCTTGTTCAAAATAATAGTATGTTATTTTAGTCAGATTTATCTAGTATTTTCATACAGATAAAGTCCTTAGAATGATACCAGACTATCAGACATTTCGTATATGATCGTAATAAAGAGATTTGATTTGTCGTTAACGTATATTCTAAAATGTTCCTAGTCAATGAAGTGTTGAAATAAGACATCATCACTTTGGGAAGACTAGTGTATACTCTATTTCTCCTTTGGTAGGATGATGAGCCATCTCTTGGATCATTGATGTGAGACATCAAGATATAGTATATAGGTGACTCATTAATGAATGAGTTGACTGAACGACTCAGTGAGAACATCTAGTTGGTAATTATACTTAACTGTCAAATAGAAGTTCTCAAGTGATATAGTACATAGTAGTCTCTTGACCTGAGGCATGAGTGCAATAACTTACATGTCAGTATAGGTGTACTTAGACTTTTACCTAACCACAGTTCTCATCGAGTTGTGCATAACGGTTCTTGTTGGGTACATCCCGAGGCATAAGTAGATATTGAGATGCCAATATAAGATTCGTCTCTCCCAGTATATGGGTTAATGTCATAAGACTGTTTGATATAACTATAACCTAGAAATCCTTGGCCGAGGTAAATAAGTTAAACTAAGTATCAGTTTGATCTTATAGGTTATGAGTTTAATATCAACAAACACTAATTGAGCAATTAGGGTTTGACAGTTTTCCATACCCTAAGCTCAATAGTTTGACATGGTTTGACGAAGAGATCGGACTGTACGACATTATCACTGAGTGGTCCTGATAAAATTGGATAAGCATCTTCCAGACCTTTATCACAACTCATACCCGGATAGTCTTCATGTGCAGCTAGCACCTCTGTTGTACTTGTGGATATGATCCACTACCGAGTTTTTGAGTTGGGCTCTAGAGTCACACCAAGCGCGTACTTGAATCCTATGAAACACAATTTATAGAGTGATGCGTATGATTAATACACATATATGATTTTTTTTCCGGATACAGATAAACGGTTATGTATATTGGTAAAATTGGAATGCTATGTGCTTAGAAAATGAATTCCAGTATTTTTTTCCATAAAGTTAACTTTTAGTCAACTAGTTGACTTTTTGGTCAACAGTTGACTTTTGGTCAACTCTTGATTTATTTGGTCATATAGTGACTAATTAGTTAAAGATTGGAATAATACTAAATACCGTATTTATGAAATACTGTATTAGTAATAATAATTAGGTATTCTCATTTATGAAATACACATACCATGTATAATGAGTCATGAGATGAGTCACTTAGTGGTATGGTTTGAGCACATGGTTTATTAGCACATGGTTTTGAAATGTAATGATTCATAAGATGATTCATTGCATGACTCACTTGATTAATCATTAATTTTTGATGATTCATTGTATGACTCATAGGATGAGTCATTCATGTCATTAACATATTTCACTCTATAAATATGAGCTCTCTCTCTTCATGAAAGGCTAATGAAAATTAAATTTCCATAAGAGAAAACAAGAGAGCTATACCTCTTACTAAACTCTAGCAATCTTTGAGTAAGAGGAAGTAGTAGGATTTTAAAAACCCCGGGGTGGATATCTTGCCTCACGTCTCAAGCAGCATCCAATAGCTTTTGGGTTTACTTAAAGAGTTGGAGATCCACTACGAGAAGTTTTCTGCATCAAAGAGAGCAAGCTAAAGGTTGTTCGATTCACTATCGAATCACGCTACAAAAGTATGACTTTCAAACCTTGTATGCTCTCTTAACAATAAGAATCATGTTAGATTTAATTAGACGGTCCATATGAATATTTCATGCTCTCTACATGCTTATTAATTTTTTTTCATTCATGTCTTCCATTGTGTATTATGCATGTAGACATAGCACTATTTCCTTCAACAATTAATCGGCAAACAAAACAATACCCAAAAACGAGATATTTTTATTCAAAATTTTCACAACAGCCAGCCTTAAGGACATTTTTATCCAAAAATACCCAAAAACGAGACAATTTTCTGAGCAGATCGGATCAAAAAGGTAAGGGGAGGTCGACGAGGGTGTTCGTTATCATTAGAAGTGGACGAATGCGAGTAGTAGAGAGGGGTTGGCCGATACTCGACGGAGGAAGTGCGACGTCGACGTTGCGGTGGATGATAAGAGAGAATGAGAGAAGAGAGTAATGAGAGAGAAATTGAGATGGGGAAAGGAGTTTAGAGAGAGAGAGAGAGAGAGAGAGAGAAGAGAGTGATGAGCGTTTACAGAGAGAGAAGAGAGTGATGATTTTCTTCCAATTTTCAACAATTGGGTTTTTGTGCAAAATTACCTCAGCCCATAATTATTAGGTCTGTGGCTGAGATTAAGCCACATCAGCTCCATAAGAGGAAACTCCCTCCTATGTCAATGACCTCCATTAAACTCATATCTGGAGTATATATATATGATTTTTATATATATATATATATATATATATATATATTTATATATATATATATATATATATATATATATAATATATAATTATACTATTATATATATATATATTATATATATAGTATAAATATATATATACTATATTATATATATATATATATATAATAATTCTTGTGTCACTTAAGTGAATAGCAAAAAGCTATCCAACAAAACATTTTAGCCACTCATATTGCCTTAGAGATC